GGTCTTTTGGTTAGAGACAATAAATAAAGGGATTAATTTCCATGTAAGGTTGTGTTGTGAATCAACACAGGAAAAAGAGGCTGAGCATAAATTGAGATGAATGAGATTAGAAAATAATATTTTTGCATTAGAAAAAAGTGTGTAAAAGAGTACGTTTATTCAGCAAACGCTGTTACAGAGGCATCACTTACCATTTCTTTTATTATGCGGACTTATATGTATAAAAATTTATAAAAGCAAGTATTGATTTATGTGTATTTATTGTTTGGGGAAGTTTTATTTTAGTGCTTCTTCTAATAGATAAATGTTTATTCACTGTTTTGCAATTGTGATGCTTAATGGTGTTTAAATATTAATAATTAGATTTATTATTATTTTTCTTGATTTTATAAATATTAAATAAATAAATACTCACGATTCTAAATACATACACAATAAAAAAGATAAGCATTAAACGAAACAGATATCGGAATCTCAAAATGAATTAATGTTGATTTTGGATTCTTTCTCTTTAATTGTTCTAAACATAATGGAATGGTGAAATCTGAAACGGGATTCATGGCCAATCTCATATAATTGTGATAAAACTTAGATGATGATAATAGTCTATAATCAGTTATGTAGTTTGTCATGTGCTTGTGCTCACATGTACGCAAGGTGCTACACGATGTGTTTTTTTGGTAAGCCAGCTTCTAACATATTTTCTTCTCCAATTAATGATATTTTTACCATTGCACTAAGTAAGAGTGCATCTCCCATTTCGAAGATTTTTCATGGTATGCAATGCATAACCCGAGCCTGCCCATGTTAATCTTTGGTTTGGGCCCATTAAACATTTAACAAGTTCTCAATCCAACCCATCCTAGGTTGCAATCCTAGTGAAATTTTATACTTTTTGTTCAGTTTGAAAAGAGTATAAATGCAAATATAAACAGTATAAATACATACCAAATATAAAATTTTATACTCTACATATTTATATTTGTACTTATATTTATATATATGAATTGTACACGTGGTGAATGGATGCATATCAGAAGGGCTGTTCTATATTTAGAAAGAAGTGGGCGATTGAAGTGGCCCCCCTGGGCCTGGGCGCCTGGCTGTGCAACATGCCACATGCCACGTATAGGGTGGGTCCTATATTCGTTAAACTCGTAAAAGTTCAAAGTCTTGGGTCGAGCTTGATTACTTATGTGGAAAAAGTAGTCAATCGATGTTTAAGGAGAAATTGAAATATGAATGAGTCTAAACCATCTCAATAGGGCCACGTGTGAAAATACATTTGTGGGGATGAAGAAATTAAAGTAAAATTTCTAAACGTCAAACTTACGTGCCTTTTACCGGATCCTCCAATCAAAAGTACTTTTAAGGTCTCAACAACTTTTACTTTTTATGGTCTACTACTGGACATCCCTAATAAATTGACTACGACATAATCTCGATCGATCGAGAGAGAGCGCGCAGCATGCACCTGGTTTATGCGTTCCAACTTTCAACTTTCTTTCGGGTTCGGGATGGCTTGAACTTGAACAAGTCCGTCCGCGGTCCGACTCTGAACACACTTGGACTTGGTGACGATGGATCTGTGTTGCACGTTCAGTATCGCTGGAGCGTGTTATTCTACGGACGGGTGATGGATTAATTACCTTGATCTTGATGTGTTGCTCTCCCTACTGTGCTCTGTGCTATTCACTACTTTAGTGTACAGTCAACAGCCGCGTGACACAGACAAGAAGCCAGATCAAAAACCGCGTTTACACGTGTACGCATTAAAATAATGTCTGATCAGATCCCTTACCAGTCAGTCAGTTCACGATATGCAAGTGGGCCCCATCTTCTTAAATGAAATAAAATATTCTCTAATTTTCTCATATAAAATATTCTCTATTTTTTCTCATATATATCCGAACCATGACCACATATACTAATATTATTTTGAGTAATCTAATCCATTCATCCATCATCTGATTTAATAAAAAGGGTAAAATACAAAAAACCTCCTCGAAAGTTTCTGATAATCATAAAACCTTCCCATTGTTTCATTGTAATGAATACCTCTATTTTTGAGAAACTCAACAAAAATCTCTATTTTTGAAAAACTCATCGAAAACCTCTCAAGCTGATACATCAATTTTTCTATATACCAATTTTTTTACGTACAATATTACTTAAATAACCCCATTTTAAATTCAACAAAATGCCCAATCGACCTCATGATATATGACTCAGAGAGGAGCCATGTTTGAAATCCCAAAAGAAGAGAGAAACCCCAAAAGAGCATCGACTCTCTTAAATCTTTCAACCCTTTAAACCCTGATTCATAGCAAGAGATAAACTTTGTTGTTGTGGACTCTGTGGAGGATGCAAAGCTTTCCATCCGAAGGTATTGATTAATCTCTACCATTATTCATCATAAGGAAGCAAATATCAGTGCCATTCTTTTCTCTATTTGCTTCTTCCAAAGTTAAAACTCGATACCAAAATCAAAGAAAAGGGTTTTACGGGCTTAAATCTAGACTTTTGTTTTGTTCTTTTTCTTTATACAGGTATGTCAATTTTAGAGATGAATCCAGATGTACAATTTCTTCAAGCGAACTATGAGAAGGAAAAAGAGCTCCTTACTATGGCTGCTCACGTTAATAATTTAATATACAGATCAACATGGATACTGAAAGTCTGAAAGTCTAGAATAAAGACCAGAGAGGATTCAAATGTTCTGTATCTTTCTGCACGTACTTGAAGTATTGAACAGTTGGTGCTGAACTGTTTTCCAATTAAGTTCCCAGTTTCCCACTATTTAACTAAATTTACACAACATTAATAATAATGACTGCTTCTTTCATTTCTTCCCAAGAGTGAAAAGCAAAAGTGTATATGTTTGGAGTGTAATATATCTTAAATTTTGAAACAGAACAAAGGAACCCATTTGATATTCAAGGTTAATATCATCAGAGTATGGTTACATCTACAAAATAACCATCGAAGTTGATAGAAAAGATTCTATCCATACACTTTAAGCCAAATATCTTGAAGAGGTTTAGATTTCCAGATTCAATTGAACCCTTGACTCTAGGGAAGAAAAGAAATATTCCGATGAAGAACAATGGAAGCTTTAAAAAACGGATATATTCACTGGTAAAGAATAGTCGAAGTTGTATGTTTATTTTAAATCGCCGGTCAAGAATAGTCACTGGTGAAGAACAATTGCTGTAAAACAAATGGAATATTATGAGAAGCCGAATATTCTAAGCAATGGCGCCCTGCAAGTGTTAGGGTTTACGTTCTTTTGCTCTGACAAAAAAGAATAGTAATTGTGAGTAAGATGTTGGGCAAACATAGTATTTTATGAAATCTTTGAATGACACTTTTGGGGTAATTTTGTAAATGTTGATATTTTGCATTTAAATCAAATGAACAAAGGGAGGTTTTTGTTAAATTTCTGAATTTTGGGAAGTTATTTGTTACAATAAAACTATAGAAAAGGTTTTTATAATTATTAGAAATTTTAGAAGAATTTTTTGTATTTTACATTGATGGGGCCGTGTCATGTCACGCATCACCGTCTTTTACTATTTGACTCGGTCATCATCATACACCGTGGGGAGGATTCCCACGAACCAATGTGACTCTTTCTCCCTTCCTTACGTTAATTGACGACGATGACTTTAGATTTTAGTGCATGGTTTTGTAATTGTACCCTGTCCTGTATTGGGTGTTGCAGAAAACTAAAAATAGAATAGGACATTTGTAATTATACGTTGTATTTGGGGCTGTCGATGGCAAATCTTTTCTAACGAGGCAGTCAATTGTAATTTTTCTGTCATTACAAATTACAAAATGGTTAAACTTTAATTGCTTTGAAGCTTAATTAAGATTGCATTCTGTAACAAAACATAGTGGTGAGATCATGCTTAATAATTTTAATAGCCAAGAACTTGTCAAACAGAACAAAGTGGGTAAGTGCCAGAGAGAGAGAGAAAGATTAACATACTGGGCTTTAGTTGACTAAATTTTAAAATGGTAAGAGTGCCCAAATTATATTGGAGCTAGAGCAGGCCAACAGAGAAGATACACTCTGTTGGTTGGATTTATGAAGAGTGGTGCCCAGTTGAGAGTGAGGTCGGGCCCATCAAACCCTAGAACCTAATACATTGCCCCACAGCCCACAGCCCACAGCCTATAACATCCACCACGGATTGTTTATCCAGCTGGGTCAACGTTTTATGCATAATGAATCCTCAACGTGGGACCAACAACAAACTATGGACAACACCCTTCATAGGTAGTGTCTGGTGTCCCTATGCTATTCATAGGACCCTAGTCCCTACTTAGGGTCTATAACTTTTTTTTATAACGCTTCCCAACATAAGCAATTATATATCCAGTTTTAACCCTCGGTTTTGACACCAATTTCATTTTTACCCACTGTAACTAATTCATTTTTTACCGAATTAATCAACAAAAGCAAGCAAAAAGCACAAAGCAATCCGGGGGTTGAGGTAGCCGGTAGGCCAAGACCAAAGAGTCAGAAACCAAAGTACACGAGTCCCCATGTCTCCCCGGTCTTCACTTTGAATGCTCTTGTCTGAGATTATCCAACCCTACAGCTGTCCAAAATAATAAAAAAGAAAATAAATTTATATATATATATATATATATATATATATATGAAGGTGAATAAATAATAATAAGAATTTTTATTTCAAAAAGAAAATTAAAAAGAATTTTCAGTCATGGTCTAGACTAGTCGACTCGACTAGGTTCGGTGGACGACCGGACCGATCGAATCATAAAAGTTGTTTTCAGATCCTTCCCAATTTCCCATTCATGATTCAACCCACCTCGACAAAATTCGGAAAAAATAGGGAAATTTTCTTAAAGCATATTTGACCGTGAAAAAAAAACATAAAAGTTGGTCGATTACACGCTTCTGTATTTGTGTTCTTATGTTATCCTATTCCAGTCCATCTAGTATATATACTAATCTACCTAACGAGGTTTGAGCATTGCCTTTTAACTTCAACAAAGTCCTTTCTTGTTTTCTCAACTCTCTCTCTAACAGAAAGCTATCGGTTTCTTTCTGTCTTCAAGATCAATACGTTAATGGCGGATGTTTTGACTGATGAGCAGATTGCAGAGTTCCGGGAAGCATTTTGCCTCTTCGATAAAGATGGAGACGGTATGTTCTACGATACCCTGTTTTGAGTCTTGACTCCATATGTTTCATGTTTTCTGTGTATTTTTTTTATAAGTATACATAGTTTTTTAAAATATACATAGTCTTCTTGTGAGTTTTGAATTGATTGGTGTCGAAGGTTTTATGTGAAGATTCTCTGTATATAACATGTATTTTACTGTTATTTTTTTTACTTGAGTTCCTTTTGATGAATCTCTGGATAATTGGGTTTATGCATTTTGATTACTTTACTGTCATTTGGAGTTCATGATGAGCTCTTCTTCTTTCTTTATTTTTAAAGATATAAGTCTTATAGCTGAATTTAGAAATTTATTGATTAATTGGTCTACTGTGTGCAGGTTGCATTACCATAGAAGAATTGGCCACAGTAATCCGGTCACTTGATCAGAATCCGACTGAAGAAGAACTCCAAGACATGATAAGTGAAGTGGATGCAGATGGAAATGGGACCATAGAATTTGGGGAGTTTTTAACTCTCATGGCAAGAAAAATGAAGGTAGCATTAACATTACTAGCAGAGAAATTTCTATGTCACAGCAAAGCTGAAGAACCTTTAGTTAGAAGTTTGATTTGTATGTATTTTTACAGGAAACTGACGCAGAGGAAGAGCTAAAAGAAGCTTTCAAAGTATTTGACAAGGATCAAAACGGATACATATCAGCTAATGAGGTAGATTTGTCATTCACCATATATATATAAATGAAAAAAAAGATGCATTTCTCATACAATGAACATCAGCCAAAGCAAATCTTAGTTTTGTTTAAGCAGCATTTTAGTTATATTTTAAATGGACAAAAAAGATTGAAGCTGAGATATCCTCTTGTTTATATGTAGCTGAGGAATGTAATGATCAATCTGGGAGAGAAATTGACTGATGAAGAGGTAGAACAGATGATTAGGGAAGCTGATTTAGATGGTGATGGCCAAGTCAATTACGAGGAATTCGTGAGGATGATGATGGCCGTTTGATCGCTGGGTTGACATGTTACTGTGTTATCTAATCAAAATGCTGATTTTTTTTTTCTTTAGATTTCTGTAACTCCCCAAAGTGCTGAAACAGAAGAGTGTTCAAGTAGATGATCACCTTATTCTTTCTTCTGTATGAAACAAACGACTCCAATAAACAAGAAAATAGGAACATCTGTCTTACCTCAAGTATTTTTATTCATTTGTAGTTCAGAGTTTCAAGGTTATTAATTTTCTAAATTTTGACTTTTTATTCATCAATGTATACGGTGTTGGTTTGGTGCAGCGTATGACATTTTATTAATTTTCGAAAGTATTAAAAAACTAATTAATATATAACTTATCCCACCGCAAACTCCCTTACCGACCCTTGAACAGCTTTGGCATCACATGGACTTGAGTGAATGGACCCCAGTTGGACTACTATTACTATTGGAGATGATTTGACTTGTTCATCTTCTTTTGGTTGGTGGGGATAGGGAGTTTTAAATGTTTATAAGGTATATTCAAGGTGTAGGCAGCTTAAATCCCTTTAATCTTTAGTACAATCATCAAAGGGTGACTAGAAATTTAGGGCCCACAAACTTTGGGACTTGCTTTTACTTTTCAATAGAAAATAGGTGGAGTTTGATTCCTCTCAGCACCTATATATATGGTTCTATCATGGATGTTAATGGGCTATTTGCACATACATTTTCTTCTTGTTCAAAGCTAGCCCACTCTTTGGGGAATTTTCTTCTGAATCTTCTTATTTCTTTCATTTTTACATTTTCCCTCCCTAATTTGACTAAATATCATGGAAGGAAGAAGTTTTGTCGGGCCTGGACCAGATGGGCCATGCCAAACAATTGTACGGTCCGGCCGTGCAATTCTTCAAATCAAAAGGAATAAAAATAGAAATTAAGGAAAAGTACTGAAAATCATTCTAAATTTATTTTTACAGCAAGATGTAATTGAAATTGATGTTGTTCGATCTGAGGTGTTCTAAATTAAAGACACAATCAGATAGTCCTGCCAATCGGACAAGGTCGAGGTAGAAGGATGAAATCGCGCATCGAGATCTACAACCAAAAGAAAGGTCAGAGGTTCGAAGAGTTGTTCCCCGAGTAGGTACTCTGATGCTCAAGTCAGTAGGATCAAGAATGATATGGTTGGGATGAACAAGTTGAAATAGCGTCAGTCCAAGCCGAAGAGATAGTGCAAAGAGGTATTCAAAGAGTGCAGTCCCAAAAAGTCCCTTACCTCGAGCGGGGAATACCTATTTATAGTTGGGTGTCTGTGTCCTAGATGGATAGGGCTTTCGGGGTTGTCGGGATGAGGGCGTCCAATGAGGTATTCGAGAGGTTTCCTCTTCCCCGGCGGAGTACGCTTCCTTGTCCATGTAGGACACTCCTTCTTAGTCGTACTCTTCCATTACACATGGTATCAACGTGGCTTGAGAAGGGGGGCGGCTGTGGAGATTGCCATGTGGCATCCTTGGCCAGCTCAGCAATCACCTAAACACCACTCTCCCAGTTCTGAAGTTGAGGAATGTAGTGCTCGGCCGCAGTTGGGTGTGGAAGTGTTCTTTGGTTACGCACATGTGAAGTGTAGCGGTCTTTGTGTCATTTCTGTTATGGGTTGGCAGACGTGTCATTTCGTCTTCCTGAGGTTACGCACGTGCGAAGCGTGGCGTCAAATTTACATCGTTGATTTGATTTGATTTGGACCATTGGCTGCCCTTATAAAAAGGGGGTGGGCGAGCCATTTCACTTTGTCATTTGGGAAGAGTCTACGCCTTGGAGTTCGGCTGGCGTCCCTTGCTTGATATCTTAGGTGTCCCGAACTTCTTTTTTCTTCGGTAAGATGTCTTCTACTACGTCTTCCCTGTCTTCCCTTTTCACTTAATATACTTTGAGGGATGAGATTGAGGGTAGTCCTTGACGTGAGGCGACTAAGGTTAGGGTACCTGTTGTGTGATTTATGCACACTTAATTCAGGAAAGTGTACCTTAGTCAAATGTGCGTATAATGATGAGAAAAGTGTCGATCCTACAGAGACTAGATCACAGTACCAAATCAATTTTAAACTAACCTAAGTTGAACTCGTGAATCAATTGAATGAATAAAAACTAAAAGAATTCATGCAAATCCAAGAACTTAATAAAAACTAAATTGATGGATGAATGCAGCTAGGGTTTAGATTTCATTAAATCAAGGTTATATAATTATCTATTTAATCCAACTCAAGACCGAAATTACCCTAAGGTATATTAAAGTTACTTGCATGTGATGGTAGATGTCCCTAAATTAATTAATAAGCTTTCTCAAGTCATATTAATCCTTTATTAATCAAATTCTATTATCAAATCTCTAAGTGGTTGTCAAAAGGAAAAATAAGCATTAATTTATTTGGAAACCTCTAATCGTAGAAGGGGATTTGACTCACTAAGCTTCCTTAATTCCCACACATGAGCTAATCATATTTCGATATCATAGTCTATCATGCGATTTTTATTGCTTAGGGATCTAATTCATAACAATCCTTTGGTCAGTCATGCATGAATCATCAAATCATTAAAAGATTGRCYAAWTCTTTTARAGYATTARGYRTMGCAAWAAAAATTCCTCATGCAAATAATAAAGGTCTTGAATTGAATTAAACAAATAACTATATAATCTTAAGATCAAAATCCATCTAAACCCTAACCAAGAAAATTTAGCTAGACATCATTAAATTCAACATACTCAAGAAAATTAAAGGGAGAACACAGCAAAAACACATCAATGAATGAATAGAATAACAAGAAAACTTTAGCCTTTGAAGGTAGAAGACAGGTGCAGCAACTAAGCCTTTCTCTCTCTTGAATTCAGATTCTTCCTCTTCTTCTCTGGCATGCTGAAATTGCTTCCTCTTCTCTTCTGATGTGCTGAGACTGCTTCCTCTTCTCTTCTCTGCTGAATTCTTTCTAAGGATGTGCCCCTTTGCCTTGAGTCTATGGTTCTTTTTATAGTGCATTTTCCCCTCAATTGCTTCTCAATGTAGACTCCTAATTCAACACAAATTAGGTCTCTTAGTCTTTATCTCAGTTGAATTTCTATCTCTTCTGCACTACCAACTACCAGACCCGAAACTTGTAGCTCGAATTGCACTTGGTTGGCGGAGGAATTAGGTTTAGTTATAAACACAAGAGTTGTAGCCCTATCTCTTAGATTTAATTATCCGTTTGAATCACCTCAATCCGAGTTGTAGGAAGAAAGTTATTCCCAAAATACGATAACTATATCAAAACAGGAAATTTCCCGATTTTTGTGCATACATATCAAATCCTATTTCAATGGATTCTCTCCTTCATGGCTACATCATTTAACATCATTGCTGCATGGTCCTTCCTCTATGATTATCTTGATCAATTAAATCGAACTCCTCCTTAAAATTGCACAATTAAGCTCCAAATCATCTTGCAAGACAATTTCATCATAATTAATGCAATATCATGCTAATTCCAAAAACATTATTACCCAAAATCATCAAGTTAGAGGTTTGAAAATATGTACAAATATAGGGTTATCAGTACCGGTGACCGATGCCAATGTGGCTAAGGTTGGTGACAAAGGCGATGCTGAGGTCCAAGAGATTGGTGCCTGGGAGACTAGTGCCAACAAGGCGGTTGAAGCCGATGTAGGGTCAAAAGAGCAAGCCCTCAAGAGGAGATTTAGGGAGCGGTTTGCCTCGGCTCCGTATAGACTTTTTCCAACTGACCTAGCTCAAATCCGGGAAGTGTATCACATTCTTGAGTACAAACTGAGGTGTCCTGGGATTGGGGAGAGGGCCACTTTGGCCTGTCCCAGTGATATTTGTGTGTACTTCCATAGTTTGATTGCCGGCCTTAGGTTCCCTTTAGATCTCAAGGAGATTTATGTGTACGTCCATAGCTTGACTTCCAACCTTAGGTTCCCTTTAGATTCCAGGGTAGTGGTCATCCTAAGGTGGTACAGGGTCCTACCTGTTTAGTTGATGCTGATGAACTCGTTTTGGTACCTGGTCGGGCTGCTCTGCTACTGCACTCTCAAGGATATTGAGATCACCCTGCCAATGTTTAGATACTTTCTCCACTTGAAGAAGCATAAACAAGGGTACTACTACCTGTCGGCCAGGCTGAACACCAAGGTACTCGTCGGGGCTCCCTCTTCCATTAAGCATTAGAAAGAGGGTTTCTTCTTTGTGAAGTGCCGAGGAGGTTGGTTTTTCTCCCTCACCCTGTCTACTTCAGGAACCAAGGATAAGGGTCCTTCCTAGGTTGAGCTGTCGAAGGAGAAGATAGCTGCTATGAGGAGGATAGTGTGGTGCACATCAGGGAGTACACATCATCCTGATTGCTGACCTTGGCTGGGCTGATGTGCCCTTCGACCGAACAATCCTAGCTTGGTCTGTGGGCTATGTGGTCTGCCTTTTTTTGTGAGCCTATCTTTACTGGGTTCTAACATTGTGGTGAATTGTGCAGATTCAGACATGGTTGGTGCTAAGGAGAAAGCTTAGCGTATGCAAGCTGTGGTAGCGAAGAAGGCATAGGCGGCTAGGACCTCGGGCGTGCAGCCTGGGGTTGCAGAGCTTCAACGGTGTTTGGCAAAGTGCACGCCTCGATAGGGTAAGAGGCCAAGGTCAATGGAAGAAGTCATGGTAATTGAATCCGAGGAGGCCACGACTTAGCTCGGGTGGTCTTCATCGCAGAGGGGGATGCTCCAGAATATGCTTCGGCTAAGGGCTCGGTCGGTGTGTATGTGCCTTAATGGTTAGTTCAGCCAGAGGACACCCTTGAGGCGAAGGGGGTGGCTAAACAGCTTGCCTGGGGTGTGATGCTCCCTGGTAGTAGGAAGGAAATCGGTAGCCACACTAACAACTTCTTGGAAAGCGTGACTCTCAATAAGGTTATGGCGGTAAGTTCAACTTTACTTGTTCTTCCTTGTTTCTCTTATTTTGTACTAACTATTCGGTGCCCTACAACTGATTTGTTTGGTTGTCGGCTTTGTCGACCGCTTCCGTGGGTTGCGGCGATTTTATGAGTCACATGAGATTGAGAACGCCCATCTAAAGGTGAAGTTGGCCAAGCTAAAACGTTGCGTCGATGAGAGGGACGACACCGTTCGCAAGCAAAAGGGCCATGTCCATGATCTCAAAGAGGCGTGGGAGGTGCTGAGGAAGGGGCTTGAGGAGGCTGAGGCA